CCCAAACCTCACTTCGTCATCAAAACTGTAGGCTCCCGCTTTGAAGCATTGTCGTGGAAGGTTGTCCGATAATTGAGGGCATCGTCCTTATTCAGCTCCATTATTTTGGCATCTGCAGCTATCATGCTGGCGTCAGGGTGGTGGAAGAAAGAGTTTGAGGAAGCGCTTGGAGGGGTCGGTGCCGATGGTAGCGGATAAAATCCTTGTCCATATTGCAGAAGAAGAAGCAGGAGTCAAGCGAGTGGTACTAATAGAAAGACCACTCCTTGATGTATAAGTGCTCACATTACCGGTTACCCCTCTTCAGGTAATGGGCAAGTATTTTGAGTTCGAAAAAGTGTGACAGAACTTTCCCGCCAACCTAATATTGTGGATCTGTGATAAAAATTATCGAGCATCTTTCCTCAATGTGTCTTATGTTAGAGTTTGATGCCCTCTGTGGAGACCCTGGATCATCTTTGAAGTATTTTCTCAGTCAAGCTCTGACGTATGTAAAAGTGTCAAACACTACCTCGTGTTTCATGCTGAGTGCAAGCGTCACTACTCACTCGAGTCCAAAGGCCGCGAGAACACTGCCACTTCCGCGACCTCTTGTAAATCTCGGGATATGAACCATGCGTTCTCTTCTTTCAGATAACATTCGGGAGATGTTGGTAGGGTTCAACTCAACCTTTCATTTATATAAGAGCTTATTGAGAGCAATGAATGCTGTTCTAGTTGTTCATAGAATTTAGAAAGTGATTTCAAAGGCGAGGAGTATTCATGAGGGACTTGAGAGCTCAGACATTCACAGAGCAATAGGGCCATTCCGACCTTCAAAAAAATTCAGACTTCTTTTCCAATACCTTTGGTATTGCGAAAGAAGTCTGAATTTTCTTTCGTCCAGATTTCGAGTCCATTGGTGCCCGCCCAGACCTACACCACTATTCGCTTGAATGTTGTTCTTCGGCACCAGAATGACGCTGAATGGTTAGCAACACTGAGCGCCAGCAGGACTCTCGCCTCAAGCAACTGAGCAATCCGTCTTTTCAAAAGCATCTAATGGATAGTTATAAATTTAATAGTTGTAGATTGTAGAGGACCCCCCCCCTTCCAGCTTCGTTCATGGATTCCTGTTCTCCAACCGCCTCACATTTCTGCAAGATGGGAATATTGCGTCATTTACATAATACACTGCTCCACATAATAATCACCCATAAAATATTACAAATCCGTCTCACATGAAGGTTTTTAAAAATGTGCTCACATAGAAAATGAGGTAATAATCAATACCACTTTGCATGCCAACACCGGGAACTGACTCGAAAGAACAAGGTTTTTTTGTTCATTTTTTTGAAAATTGACACTCTGACAATTCCACAAAATGATAGTTCCACCTCATGTTTTTTTCTTCTTTTTTTTCTGCATCTTTTTTTGTTGGGTAAAACTGTCTAATTATTGTGTCTTTGCCTTTTCTAGGCTATGGCAAGAGGACATTTATTATCGGCTCTTAAAAAAGGACAGATAATCGCAAAGAAGACTCGAAAACTGTCGAACCGTCGAATGGCGCTGGATGCGGGCCGCACTCATCATGCTATTAAACTATTTTTCCAAGGACCCAGTGATATTGAGCTGATACAGAGTCTGACCATTCTCCGTGCCTGCCCGATCGGAATAACCGCCGTATCCTTGAAAAACCTCCAACTCTGCAGTGTCGTGTCGCGAAATCAAGACATCTTCGGAGGTCAAATGTCTCGGAGAATACCTCAGGCGTCTCTTGAAAAACTCCCTAACAGGAGACTATGAGTTAACGTATGTTTCTAACGAAAAACCACCGGGAACTATTGGCTTGCTTGAAGATGTGCCAATGAAGTGAGGTTGGCTTTTGGCTGCGGCGCCCTACTGCTTGTCTACGTTGTTTTTTCAGTTTTTTTTTCTCGCGGTCGTGTTTTCTGATGAGGAAAAGTTCAACTGCGACGGCTCCGACGAGAACCGATTCCGCTGGTACGACCTGAGGGAAGACAAGTTTCATTTTTCCGGGCAGAACTTCAGTGGATGTGGTCTCATGGTCTGGCCTGCCATCGCATGAATGGAACGTCTGAAACTGCGCTCCGTATGAAATAAGAAATGATTTCTTCCGTTACCTAAAAGTCATGCGACGACGTCTCCTTGCTTTCTGGCGTAGATATCAGCAAGAAAGTCCCCTTTTCATGCAGGATAATGCACCAGTTCATGACAGTCGGAGCACATTGGCGCTGCCGTTCAGTCTGTCACCAACGCTCTTTTGCGTTATGCAGCTGAGTAGCCCCGACTAAAACCCAATCGAGGATATGAGGGGCTTCATGGTGCGTATGATCCATGAGAGTAATGCACAATTCCACAAGGTCCGTGAGCTTAGGTGGTTAATCATTGGGGCAGTCGACCGACAGCCTATTAAAATCTCTAATCGAACATGGGCAACCGTATTTTCCAACTTAATTGGAGAAATAGAGTTCCAGTAGATTATTGGATCAAAATTTACTCATTTTATTGTGCACTTGTTGGCAGAATATTCGATTTGTTTGGTGGAACTATCATTTTGTGGAATTGTCAGAGTGTCAATTTTCAAAAAAATGAACAAAAAACCTTGTTCTTTCGAGTCAGTTCCGCGTGTGTTGGCATTTTGCAATAGTAGGTATTGATTATTACTCATTTTCTATGTGAGCACATTTTTGAAAACCTCATGTGAGACGGGATTTTGTAATATTTATGGGTGGATCTATCATTATGTGGAGCAGGTAGAATTAGTACATGCGTTCATTGAATATTTGATTCTTTTCACATGGGTTGGATCCCAGATTCTCGCACCCGTCAATCTGTTCGGAGTTTTGAGGAACTGCGGGCAGTGTTACAAAGGGTCTTGCGAACTTCTTTTCGTTTGAAGTTTTTTTTCGACTCTCTTAATCTACTCTTCTTTTCATGAAATATTTGCCACTATTGTGACAAACATTCAAATCACATCACAAGAGTGCTGAGTTGTGGGCAAAAGTCGGACCACGGTCGGTATTCGACCCGCATCTTCTGCTTACCGGGCAGTTGCTTTCCCTTATAGCCATTAGGGCGTAACAGGACAACGCAATCTGCTTCCAGTAAGGAAATGCGATTCGATTTCCATCCGGTGCTCGCGACTTTTTGCCCACAACTCAGCACTCTTGTGATAGCTTTCGGATCGCGCACTGCGGTGTTAAACGCAGTTATCAAATAATAACAATTCAAATCGCAATTTTTCTGAGAAGTTCATTTTTTCCATTCTTTCCCTAGCTTCGGTCTTTCAGGTGCTCGCAATTGGTCTTGGTGGGCGTGGTCGTCTTGAAGATGCCATCCACCAACTTCGTGGAATTCATCATGACGCGCTTAACTACAACCAAATCTGATGACTTGGAAAGCATTCACGAGATGCAGGAGAACTTTTGTCTTTTGAGAACAGAAAGAGCAGTATCAAACATTGCTTTTCCTGGGGGGGAAGGAACTTGTTGTGCCAGCTTGGAGGGCGTGTGGGATTTCAGGCTTCCTTGTGGCAATGAGAAGTACCGAGATTGGGGTACCTTTGCTAGGCTATTAAAAAGAAGCTATGGGCTGGGTGGAAAACTGTTTGAAGTATAGTTATTCATTCAGTTATGTTATCACCAGTTCTATAACAGTGGGGCGCTTTCTTGGAAGCCCCTCCCAAAGATGATTTACACCGAATTTTCTTTTTAAACTTGCTCTTTTTTAGGTATTCTATGAATCGCTTGCGCGTGTTGGTTGGGAGAGTTTGATTACAAGCATCAATAGAACGATTAACGAGTTGGAGAACCAAGTGGGTTTATAGTTTCATGAATTTAATTTTCTGGTCCGATCTACAGGGTGCGGGTCTTTAGTTCCGAAATCCGGATTGGTTCGAAAGCAGCTCAGTTTTCGTTTTTTTTATCATCGCGTTCCCACAGTTCAACTTGATGACCTAATAATGTCGTGCCAAAGCAAACTAGGTCCTGGTCACGTGATGCCCGCAGGGCTTCCTATATTTCTGGCTCCGCCCACACGATCACTGCGGATTGTGCCTCTATTTAATATTATTCATGAGTAATTGTAAAGCGTTTAGATTTTGATGCGTGACAGCAAAGGTATCTCTGAAGAGCAGATCAATGAATATCGCGCCTCATTCAACCACTTCGATAAGGATAGACAAGGCCTCGACCCCGAACAGTTACGAGCGTGTCTAATTTCCATCGGTTACAATATTCGGCCTGGACGAGAGGTTAGTAGCGCTGAAATTCGATCGATTTATATGGCCTTTTTGCCAACTTGTATGTTCTAGTAGATCAAAATCTTTGTGGGAATAGTAGTAAGCAGGGAAGAGATCAGTGACCATTTCTATCGAAGGAAATCCCGATTTATGAGAAAAAATTTAGGGTGATGCCGATTTGCATCGCATTCTTACGCATGTTGATCCGAATCGAATGGGACGTGTGCCATTCGATGCGTTCTTGGATTTCATGACAGCCGAGACGGCAGATTCGGACACCGTGGAACAGATGATTGACTCGTTCCGTATTCTGGCAGCTGGAAAGGTAAACATTTCTCTGGTACAGTATCCCGAAAATTCTTTCATTCTTCCTAACTGATCCGGAGGGGATAGTCCGTTCTTGTCATTTGAGCGTATTCAGACTTGTAATTACGTCCTACTTATTGGCGCATCTCTTATTACAATTGGTCAGGCGAAACGCACCAATGAGGGAGGTGCGGTGATGGATCTGACTCCGCCCATATGGAGTACATCTCTACCATTTCCATTTGAGTTCAGGAAACGTCACTCATCCTTAGGAGTTTAGCTAGAAATTGGAATGAGATGCTTGCTATGAGAGGAATTTACGTGAAGAAGGAAGGGAGCTTTTAAGGCGGCGTTCAGAGTTTGCGATGACGCGCGTCGACGCGCTGCAATTGCAACGGCGGCTCAATCTGTAGAGGCGAACGCATAACAGGAGCACAGGCACTGCACAGACAACCTGGTACTCTCCCTTTCTTCTATACCCTCCCGGAGTACTACCACCAGTGCCGATCGATCCCTGTCTGCAGCTGCGTTCGCGTCTATAGCACTGGAGCGCTGTTGCAATTGCGACGCGTCGGCGCGCGCCAGCGCCGCAGAGGTGCCACACAACTACTTTCTGATAGTGGAAATCTGTAATCGATTGGTGACGACCGACTCCTTGCACCCTATGACAGTTTTTGGGGGGAAACAAGTATAAC